AGAGAGAGAGAGAGAGAGAGAGAGAGAGAGAGAGGTTATAATAAATGAGCATCAAATGTGATAAAAAGTAAAGAAAATATGGCACATTAGCCAGCATCCAAGGAATAAGAGCTGAATTTTAGATGATCTTAAAGAAGATAAGCCCACAATCTACAATCTTTAAAAGAAAAATTATGACATAGATCTCATGATCCTTAAAAATTTCATTCCCAGCTAGGTGAAAAGAGAAATTCAGTAGCATGCCTCAAAACATTTTTTTAAAAAGCAAATGAAATGCAGTTTGACAAAATGAGTCAATTATTGGAAGTAAGTAGTCAATAGACAAAAGGACATGGTGGCTATATTTTGCTCTAAGATTCTTTTTTAAAATCTAAACAACCTGCCATCTACTGGTCTAATTTTTACATCAAAGTTTAAGACCTTTTCCAACTAGAAAGACGAGCCTTCTATTTAAATTTTGTACATAAGAATCTTTTTATCTTAGTGTGATTAGGATTTTCAAAAAACATTAAAAACTGATCCTGCACCCCCAAAAAAAGTAAAAAACTAGACACTTTAAACAAGAATATTTTAACATCTTTGTGAAGAGGCCTTTTTGAGAAAAGCTGCTTTTCTCTGTTGAGCTAAAGAGAAATATTTTACGTGGCTACATCAATATTTAAAAAAAAAACTATTTACAAAGCATTTAAAGCAAACAAAACATATATAAAAGCATACATGAAAGTCTATTTTTCATGCACACTTCATCAAACAATAAAATAAATGTGTTGAGTTTGCAAAAGTTATGGCAAAGATGTCTAGTGGCAATGCCAATGGCAACTGAAGGACAAAGTACATCACTGTCAATGATAGCATTACCAGCAGATTAAGAGCTGAAAAATGTAATTATCATAAAAAGCTGTATGGGCAAAAAAAAATTTGAAAAAAAATGTGAAGGAGATGCATTTATGACCTGAAAGAATAAGAATCACAAGAACATGTCAAGAGAAATTGTGTTCTCTCATCTCACATCTTGCTGAAGGAAATGCAGTTTCCCTCCTTTCCTCTTCCATCATCTGCTGGTCGAGCCTCTGGTAGTTATCGCGACTCAGCTCACCCGTGAGTAGCCTCTGCAGGAAAGGAGTGCCGGCACCACTGCCATCCCGACTGTTGCCATCATGTGTTGAGCCATCCTGTGCATCAGACTGCCCTCTAAGGAATTTCTCCAGCTCTGTCATGCTCGGTGAAGCTGCAGATGACGCAGGAGAGGGAACGCTGAGTGCTGGAGTTCTTCTGGATGCTTCCGGGGGTGAGGAGAATGATACAGATGGATACATGACTGTGTCAGATGCACTAAGTTCAAACTCTGGGTATACTTCTTGGGAGTTGCTTTCAGTTTGTATGGCGATACTTTTGGATTTACGAGAACGCCCACTTTCCTTGCGCAAGACCATGACAGACACAGGTTCTGAAGATGAAGATGATGGATCTGCAGACCCGGAGCCCCTTGGAGACGAAGTTTTCGAGCGACTTGTAGGGCTAGTCTGTGGTGGGGAAAATGATTTCTGCGGAGTAGATCGGCGCATTTGGGACATCTGAGGAGGGAAGGAAGTGGCAGGACTAGCAGATGTTCTCATTACATTGGCTGCAGCTGAACATGGGCTCTTTCCAAAGATGCTCATTGTCTTCGGTGACTTTGAGTTACTGAAGTAGGACTGCTCATGGTCACTTTTTTCAGAGGAGATCATCCTAGCTGGTGACTTCATTGGAGCAGAAATTTTGCAGTTGACTTTGTGGGAGGTATGAAGGGGTGGGGATGATCCCATAATGCTTTGCTCATAAGCCGCAACCTTTTGAGCAACAGTGGGACCACAGGGGGGAAGTTCTTGAGTCTGCTGGGGCATCTGAGAAGAGAAGGTCTGAGCTGTGTGAAATGGAAACTGTTCAATAAGTTTGTCCATGTCTGGATTAGTGACTGCTGCTCTGAGTAAACTTGTCTTCCCTGTGGGAGAACCAACTGGAGGTGAAGAGCTCATGGACGTCCCCTGCCCATGACAACTGGCTGATGACTGTACAGGCAGAGAGGCCAGTGTAGAAGTTACTGGGGTCTGAGATGGTGCTTGATCCATACACGAACTGACCTGTGCCTTGATTTGTGCCTCAATGAAAGTGTACAAACTGTCTTCCCATGATGCATTACTACTCAAATCGGAGATCAAAGCTTGTGCTTGATCATGGCCTATGGGTCCACAGCTTTCAACATCTAGATCAAGAAGGTCATCTGGAAAATCAAAATCTTCCATCTCAATGTGTCTCTCAGAGGGAACCTGTTGATTTGCCATACTATCATAATTTGCTTGCTCTTGCATCATGGCGGTGCCTTGATGGCATGTGCTGAAAAGTTGATTGCTTCTGTTCTCCCCAGCAGTCACTGAGACTGAAGTACAGGGTCGGAGAGGTAAGGGCAACTCCTTTGTCTTCATCTTGCCATCACAACCACCCTTCCGGAATTTTGATGTGGAACTCAAGGAGGACGACTGAGGCAGAGGAAGTTCAGTGGACTTCCTACCTCCATTTTTGACGATCTTGTGTCGTTTACTAGTTGCCTGCACCTCACGCTCATTTTTTGTACATTTGTCTTTCTTTGGATCATTCTGCTTTGAAAGAGACTGAGTCAGAATCCATTCCTCATGAGTCAATGGCCCTTGAACTGTTTCTCCCTTATCTAACAGAGTTCGGAGTAGAGATTGTCTTCTTAAAGTTTCACTCTCATATTCCAGACCCAAGGAAGCTCTGGGAGGTGATGCTGAAGTCTGCTGCGAAGGAATGAATTGATTGTCTGAAGCCTGGCTCACAGAACCTGAGCTGGGAGTACATATATTAATGCAGGTATTGGATCCTCCAACACCAAAGCAAAGCGTTGAACATTGATTTGGCCTTGATGATTTATTACTGTTCATGACAGTGGGATCAAAACTGGACATGAAAGTGATCTTTGACACTGGTGAACCTTGACTGGCATTCATAGAAGATTTCTCATTTAGAGATGGGCTCTGGGATGAAAGACAAGATGGAATCGTAGATTTGAGAGTGAAGTTGGTGTCCAGATCTGTAGGGAACTCGGAGGTATCCATTGACATACCATTCAAAAATGGGTCAGACCCATTATTTGTCAATAATGTTGTGACATCAGTCTCATTTAGCAAGTCAGCAGCCTCCACTTCTTCCTGGCCATAAACAGATGGGAAGTCTATAGACTTTCGAGTAATTCTATCAGTGATTCCACACAGAAAAGATTCAACTTCTCCCGGTGTTGAGTACAAGCTTGAAGGTGGAAGCTGAGAGTTGTGCAAGGAGGTGCTGGGACTACTAGTTAAGGTTACTGCATTTCCTGCAATTTGTGCCCCTTCTTGAGAGGAGGAGAGACCAGCAGAAAAATCTTCTCCAATACTGACCTGCACACTCGGGGTAGACTGCCACATCAGGTCAAAATTACCAGGGAAACTTTCAGAGGTGTTGACTTCGTCAGCAGTTCCAACACCATGCTGGGTGTTCATATTTCCAGACATGGGAAGAACATTCTGTAGATTGCCCTCTATATTAGTCTCTTCTGCAAACAGATCATCCACAAAATTCTGGGGACCTGGCTCTGGCATGATGAAAGAAGAAAAATCTGACAGCATAGAATTTGGATCTATATTTTGATTAGACTGAAATGGAGCATTCAGTACATCATTTTCCTTTGCCACACTCATACTACTGCTTAATGATGCCATAACATTGAGATTTGAGAGAGAATCATTAACACTAGTAGAAACATTAGTTTTATTTTGCATTCGGGGGCTTTGACCAAGATCCTGCAGCTTCAGTGGTTGAAGACCTCCAGATGACAGATCGCTCTGAGTGATAATCATGTCCGAATCAGGAGAGAGAGTATACTCATCACCTAAATCAAGTGTACCCAGGTCAGTCTCGCTCATTGCACTGTCTTGAGGAACTGTCAGCATTGTGGAAGCAGATGAAGGAACAATGTCCATGCAACAAGAACCACTATATGCTGAGAAGGTGTCAGAGAGTTGAGAAAGACGCCTGTCCGTCTGAATACTCATCACAGGGCTGTCACTGACTCCAGTTGAAGCCTGCATTGAGTCAACAGTAGAGTTGCTTATAACAGAATCACTGCAGTCTGAACGCTGGCTTTCATGTCGGGATTCAACAAGTGGATTTTCAAAATCATCATCCTCAAATCTCATGGATTTGCGACCTCTTCGTACGTAAGGATTGCTAGAAACATCAACCGGAGGTATGCTGAAGATACTGTCCAAACGCTTGAGGGGATCTACCGGTTTCAATGGGCTGAAATGAGCCATGGTCAGCTGCTTAGGGACAGTCACAGACTTGGGCAAAGGAAGCTCTGTCTCCAGACTGAAGCCCAGGCATCTCATCCTGTTAAACTCTGACTTGTCTCTGGACAAAGCTCTCTCAGCTTCCTCATGGCTGAAATCCAAAAGAAAAAAGAAACAAAAATTTCTCAGACATGTCAAAAAAGTGAAATCTCCAATTGAGGTAAAACTTTGAATAAAATTTTAGTCTGACCTTCAAAGTTAAAAAGCTAGTTGTTTCTGCTGTCAGTCCAAGAACATGGCCAAACTTTTAGGTTCTATCCTAGAAGGCATACCCGCCCTCAACCTTGAGATGGAGACACCAGTCTTCCGAAGTACACCATTTTGAAATGAAGTAGACTCAGTCAAATAAAGCTCAACACCCGACAACCCAGTCCACGATTGTGATTTTAAAGCTCCTCTGAGCATAGAAAAGAAGGCAAAAACAATGACAAGATTATAAAACCTTTTGGACACCTCAGTTCTTGAAGACCTTGAAAACAATACAGTTTTCAGATAAAGATACAGAGCAATTTCTTTTTCACAACCTTCCTCCATTGCACCTCACCGAGGCAAAAATAAACTTTGACCTAACAACACACTTTCATTTCATGCACTGTCATAAAAACATTCCAAACCGCATACAAAAAAAACCCTAGGGGGAGAAAATCTTCACCAATGGATCTGAATCGGACTCAGCTGTAGCCATTGCTGCCCTATCCCCAAATAGCACTCAATAGAGGGGGCTTCATACAAAGGACTCTTATTTTTTCTGTAGAGGCCTCTATCATTGATATGGCATTGGACTCTGTAGAAAATTTTCCCAAACCATCTTTTCTCATTCTCTCCAGTTCCTTGTCTTGCCTCACTTACTCACCAATTTTACACTCTCAAACCTTAAATTATCAGATACATCCAAATTAAAATCTCTGGACTTTGGAGGGACTCAAAGGAATAATTTAAATGAATTAATTTAAAAGATTTGTTCTCCATCGTTGATTCCAACAGAATTCTCGATTCTATAAAGACCATAGGTCTTTACTCATGGATGTAGATTGTTTTATTTTTAAAATGTAAATGACTGTTTATACTATTAAATTTTTACAGTGAATTTCTCACTTCAATCATAAAGTAAAACCAAGCCTTACTGTGACAAACATGAAAACAACCAACTCAAGTCCTGCATGCTCATAAGAACTTATGTAGTTGCAAACCCCATAAAACTCGAAAACTGATCTAGAGAGAGTCTCGATGGCCTTTGAAGTTCCCCATTTAATTTCTCCCAAGCTTTCAGAATCCAAATTCAGCACATGATCATATCCCGCGGAGACTTCTACACTAACATGGGGACTGCATAGATATTCAGTAAAGAAAGCTTTTTAAAACATACTTCTAATTACTTTCTTATTATTAACTATATTAAATATATTATTAACATAGAAACCTCATTAAATAATAGGCCTATCCAACGAGTTGAAATGGTTGAAAAACATGTAACAACAACAGTCAAGAACTACTTACGTAACAACATAGTTTCTGCACACAATGTACTGTGGCTTCTGGGCCGTGTCGTAGACGATGGTCGCATGTGTAATAAGCCACACCCAAGCTCCTGTTCTCGACAGAAATCTGTAGTACGTCGACTTAACACTGCCATTAGTCATGACTGAAACAAGAAAATTATAGAAACTAAGAAAGATATTAAGAAATATATTACTCATAGTTTTGTAGCCTCTCTACTGAAATGAGAGTAGTATAAAAAATGAAAGAAAAGTTTAAAGTGATAGTTTTTAATGCCATAACCTCTCTTTTGAAATGGAAATAGGACAGAAAGAAAGTACAGATACAATCATATCCTCCAGTAACGTAACCTCTCTATTGCAATGAGAAATGTAAATGTATAACAAACAAGCAAAGTAAAAGTCACATTCTATTATTACTATTGTCATTATTATTATTATTATTATTATTATTATTATTATTATTATTATTATTATTATTTTTATTATTATTATTATTATTTTTAAAATTATTATTATAGCCACAGTCTTATGTAGCTTCAAATGTCAGAACTTCAGAACACGGATGGGAGCTCTGGTGAGGTTTGCTCTTTCTATTTCTCTTTAGTGTTTCTATTGCTCTTATTTGCTTACAGGCAAAGTTCGCTTGTCACCGCAGTACACTGCAATACAATAGCCAGCCAGTGACAACTCCATAGAGAGAACTTCTATCCATTAAGAATACAACACAACGTTAACGGAGCTCGAGTTTTTCTCTCTCACAGTCCACGTTTGCTGGTCAGATATTCAAACTGGTCTTACTTGCATCATCTTACTGACTAAGACAGCGAAGTCTAGAAATATTTCTAATCTGAAATAAATACATATACATGCATTTCAAGACATGGCATGATGTATTGAAGAAAACCAACATTGGGGGCGTGGAAACCGTCCATGACAGAAATAGAAAAAAGATTTTGGATACGATTAGATATGACTTTGGAAACCTATTCTTTTCCCTTTTTTTCTTCAACAGTAAAAAAAAAACAACTATGTGGATTTGCTGCTGATTCAACTATCGTTGTACATTGGGTTCTTTCAGTGGACACTGACCAGGTAACGCCATCTGAACGAACACAAGCAAGCATCACCATTTCCTCACCGCGCCCCCAGCCAACATGATGCACGGCATGTATCCCTCACCCCTCTTTTTTCCACTATCATCTTTTTTTTTTCTCCGAAAGTGAAAACGAAATACCAAGTCATCTAGGCGGGCAAAATGTCCAGTGTTGACATTCTACCCTTCATCAAATTCACAACTGTATCAAGGGACGTGAATTGTAGCTGCATTTGCTAAAAAAAAGCAGCTCTACCACATAATATGCGTGCTCTATTTTCGTGGTCTGTGTCAAATAGTTCTCGCTGTTGCATCATCCTCATCGCCCGACATGAGACTTTTCCAAAACATAAACACGACGCAACGCAGGAATAGACGACTACAGAACAGGTCGTGTCATACATGGCAGCAGCAGATGGACGGAGCGCGTGTGTGTGTGTGTGTGTGTGGGTGTGGGTGTGTGTGTGTGTGTGTGTGTGTGTGTGGGTGTGTGTGTGTGTGTGTGTGTGTGTGTGTGTGTGTGTGTTCGGCTCGGGGGGGGGGGGGTCAATTTATATCAGATCTCTGTGTGCCTGGACGATCATATACTTGCGAGCATGTGTGCATTCTTTCTACACCTCTTTCCTTTTTTCTCTATACATCTCGTACTCACCAACTCGTTTCTAAACTGCAGCTTCCCCACAGTGACCGACTCTGTACCGGCCAAAAATAGACGGACTTACAACTTTAGTTTTCGTGGGAGATTTAAAAAACGTCTTGGTGCCTCCCACCTCCTTACAATTTCTGCCTGCTGTCCTTTTACCCAAAAATAAATTACTATTCTTGTTTCGATGGCGGTTATATATATTTCAGCCAAATTAGAACTAACCCCCCCCCCCCCAAAAAAAAAAGCCGAGGTCAGCATAAGGTTCGAAATGAATTGCGGTCTAGATCTAGTTTGTGTCTGTAGTACAAGAAATACTACTTCGTTTAGTTTTAGTGAGGTTTTACATCGCTCGCAACAGCATAAGGTCATATGAGCGCCAAGGGGCGGATGTCAACAGAAAAGTCCAAACAGGGAATCAGGCTTCCTCTGCTCACCTCTCTAGCCTTAACAGCACAAAGTCTGCTTCCACTATCAAGGCACCCCTGAAATAGCAGTTCACAAGAGAGTGACAAACATACAAAAGAAGTAGAGGGAAAATGACGATAGTAAGGATGAGGAAAGAAAAGCAGCAGTTCCCCCAATGTTATTCCAGCACAGTATGGGCATGAAATTGATAAATCAGCCCATTTACAATTTTACTGTGCATAAGAACGTGTTAATATTACTACTTCTCAGCGATAGGAATCTGATAGGAGCCCAGAACACCTTAAAAAATCACATCCGTTACTTTATTTTACTTTATCCTTCCTCTTGAATCGATAGATGTTGAGAAGAGGTGCAATTTGTGGTAAAGTGCAAGGTGGGTGTCTTTTGTTGATGATATATTAATCTTTCGGAGGACCTCTTTAACCCCAACCAAGTTTTGCGTGGTCTACCCCTGCCCTTGTATCTTGACTCTTTTGAGATGTATGTTCGTGCAGTTGGTTGATTAGGAGGCATTTTCATCAAATGACCGAATCGCTTGATTGTTCGATGTTCCATATGTTTCGTGTTTGCTTCCTGGGTCCTCATTTCAATTTCCCGGTCAATCTTTCGTCATGTGTATTATATGCTCCCCAGATATTTAAATTCCTCGACCTGTCTGAGATGTGTCCCGTCGATGGTGATGTTTAGCCAGCCTGGGTTTCTGTTAACTTTCATCACTTCTGTTTTGACATTGCTGATTTTCATTAACTACTCTGCACTTTTCATACAGACAAACTGTATGTTCTTTCGTGCAAGCTATTGGGGTTTCTATTTAAGCTGCTCTGGTCACATCCGCGAACAACATTTTACCTACGCTGGTATTGTCGTGAGATTTCGGATTTAGGTGTTCGAGGCTCAGCTTAGTCCGACGTTGTGTCCTATTGGACTCTGAGAGTGGTGTCGGTAGTCTAGTGGTTTGACTACCAGACACAACGTATGGACCCTAACGGGATTCGAACCCACGACCTTACGGTTGCGAGTCCGAGAGCCTAACCACAAGGCCACCGAGCTCTACAGTAAAATCAGGGACTGTGTTAGTTACATTGAATGGAATGCTGTCAGCATGGACGAATGGCATGCACTTACGAGATCGGTGGCAGTGCATGCACATGATGACATCACGGGGGCAGTGAAACTGGTAGACGGTGCGGCCCAGAACATCTTTAGGCTCATAGCCAATGAGGTTGACGATTCTGTGGACGACACGAAACGACGATTTAGGCATGCATGGAAGTGACGAAGAGGGAGCTGGTCGAGTGACATGAATAAATAGAAGCAGGAGTGAGTGAGTGAGTGAGTGAGTGAGTGAGTGAGTGAGTGAGTGAGTGAGTGAGTGCGTGAGTGGGTGAGTGAGGGAGTGAGTGAGTGCGTGAGTGAGTTGGCGAGTTGGCGAGTCAGTGAGTCATAGAGTCAGTGAGGTAGGTAGGGAGGGGGAGGGGGAGAAAGGGCGGGAGAGATGTTTGTTTAAGTAATGAGAAGCACGTGGGACAGATGAATGGGAAAAAGTAATTCCGACAGTCAAAACAACATAAGGAAATAAAAGAAATAAGCCCAAACAGCGCCGCCACCAACCACCCACAATGAAAAATGTGAGTGGGCGAAAGAGAGAACGAGAGGCTGGATTAATCTAATTATTGTGATGTGGGTGTGTGCGTGGGAGGCGAGGGGGTGGGGGGCTCAAGGCAAACATATAGGACATGGGTACCCTCTAACCACTAAAAAAAGTTTTAATGAGAGCGAGGGTGAGAAAGAGAGAAAGAGGTGGAGGGGAAAGAGAGACAGAGAGAGAGAGAGAGAGAGAGAGAGAGAGAGAGAGAGAGAGAGAGAGAGAACGGATTAAGAAAAAGGAGATGGAGATATGATAACAAATCAAGACAGAACGATTTTAATGAGAGTGTTGAATGGTCAGAATAAAGATGAAAAAAACCCAACAAGGATAGATATTAATGTAAAGAAAGTTTACCAAAGGAAATGTCTCGTCCGTACCACCCAGAACAAACATCTTTACGTAGTGCGTTTATTCCGTACTGCTCTTAGACAGATGTTGCACAGTTGTTATGTTTAGTACCCAAATTATAGCTTTTCTTAAGTACAATAATATATCCTCAACAACCATATCCCAGCTTAAGAAAAAAATACTATAATACTATTTTAAGGGGGGGGGGGGGTCCCACGATTGAGTAACATCGTTCTTAGGGCCTGTTGTGTCATAATAAACGGTGCTGCTGGAAAGGGGGTAATCTTACAACAGTACAAAAGTACTTTTTTCTTTCCACTTTTATTTTTTGAGTAGGGGGTTCGGGAGGAAGCTGGGGTAGGGAGAAGGGGAGGGATGGGGAAGCAGAGAGGGAAAGGGGGAGGGATTGGAAAACAGAGAGGGGGAGGGATGGGGAAGCAGAGAGATAAACATACCTCTAATAAGGAGAAATCGCCCTGAGGTTTCCAAGGATCTCTCTCGTGGTATTATCCTATCGGTCACCCGAGGCTTTTGAAACACCAAAGTAGACCTAAGAGTCTGCTATCGAGAGGTTAAATTAACTCAAGCTTTCTTGGTTTGCTTGGGTTTTGTTTTTTTTGTTTTGTTCTGTTTTGTTTTGGGTTTTTTTATGCTCGTCTGGGATTATGATTGTGCTCTCTCGAGAAGGTGTGTGCGTTTGAGTGTGTTTGTGTTTGTGTTTGTGTGTATGAGT